CAAGTTATAAACGTAGCATATGTACAGGAAGATCATGCGTGGTGAATTCACGTGCCAGATTGGCGTCTGGAAACTAATACTCTTGGGAGAGACCTCAGTCAGCTTTCGGAGTCGGCTCAACTGCACGGTCGGTCCGGTCTCAGCACTAACCCGTCCCTGAGAAGATTAACAGAGGAGAACACTCTCTCTTTACGCTCAGCGGGCTTCCCAAGTGCCTGAGACTACCGTGTACCAGTCTCTTGCCCTTCTCTCCTTTCCTCTCGTTCGGCCCGCAATTTAAGGGTTTTTGGACGGGGACTTCCGACCAATCACAATCCCTTTTCTTTGCCCGAACAGCTTACACTCGGGTCCGCCGTCATCCGACGAGAGTGCAGCTCACACAAACGTCCGCCACTTGTTTACGTTCGTTCGTTTACAATATGACAATTGTACTACCGTCTCACTGCAGGTGGGTACAATTAACAAAGCCGTACCCCCTTTGTCCCCGCTGTGCTAAAAGGTTACTACTTTACACATGACATACCCTAACTGTCTACCAAATTTCACCTCTTTAGGTTAAGCGGTCTGCTCTGGGCGATGATGAATCAGTGAGTGAATGAGTGAGTCATTCAGTCAGTCAGGACAAGCAATTTTATATATTTAGATTGTTTAAATACTGCAATATCTTTATAATATATAAGATTTTATAATAATAGGATTCCTTGAAAAAGAAATTAAGAAAGATGGAATACCTATGTTTGATATTGGTGATAATCCAGAGGCACCACAGCCAAGAGAGATGATAGATATGGAAGTAAGTTTTATTTTTTAATATTTTTGTTTTTTAAATGACTAATAATGATAATTTTCCTTTTTATGAAATAGGCAAAATTTGAAAAATTAGAAAATGAATTAAAAGAAGTTAATACTAATGCAGAAGCACTTAAGAAAACATATTTAGAATTGACTGAATTAAAGCATATTTTACGTAAGACTCAGGCCTTTTTTGACGAGGTAAGTATAGTTAATAGGTTAGAATAGATTAATAATAATAATAAATTTATTACATTAAATATGATAAAATCATCTTTGTTTTTCTCCATCATATAATCATAAAAGCTATTTTACTAACTTATTCTAAAGAATTTGCAACATTTCTATCATAATAAAACATTTTTAAAGTTTTTTTTCCTTCAGTAGATCAAACTTTTAATTTTTAATAACATTTGTTTTTTTACATCAGTGCTGTTGTAGCATAATTTGATTATTTATTTTAAAAGTTTTTTAATCACTATGTTTTAATAAAATATAAGTCAATTTTAATTTTTTTTTTGCCCAATATATTTATCTAATTTAAAAGTATTCTTTTAATTAGGGTAAAAAGGTTTTTAAATTAAAATACAGGCATTCTAGTTTAACATCATCTTAATGTCTTTCCAGTAGAATGTTTTTTTTGGTATTTAATACTGAAAACTTCAATAGAATATATATATATATACATATATATATATATATATATATCTTGATACAATATTTTTGGCCAAGTTTATGTAAGTAAAATGTTTATGTATTAAATATTTGTAATGTCATTAAGAAACCAATAAGTGGGAAAATTGTCAAGTTATATTCCAAATACTACTGATTAGAATGTTAGAATCACATGTGGACATTTTTTAAAAGCATCCTGAGTGTCAAGAAAATTGCATTTTGTGAATAGCTAGTGCCAATAGAGGCATCATAATGACTTGTCATACCAACATCTCCTACAGCAGAAAGTCTAAACATGTTTTCATGATGTCATTAACATTGTTCAACCAATTTTATAATTTGCAGAAGTATTAGAGACATTGTTAAGAATGTGTTGTGATTTATTCTTTGTTATTTATTGTAAATGTTTGTTTGAAGTTTTTAAACTAGAGTGTAGTCTACAGTGTAGAAATCTGTTTTATATTAATAATTTATTACAAAGTAATATTTGTTTACAATTTAAAGTACAGTGGTGCCTTGTACTTCAAATTTAATTCACTCCAGGATGCTCTTCAAATTCCAAATTATTTGAAGTCCAAAGCGCTTTTTCTAGTGATGGGACAATTAACCGAAATCGAGAAACTCTTGTCGTGATTTCTGATTCTTAAAAACGATTCTTCCACATTTAATAAGAAAATTAATTATTTGTTTCATTCGAAGATTAAAATTTTTTAAAATTATATTAACAATTAAATATTAGTTAAACTTTCTATTGTAAAATCCATCTATGAAGAATTTAAAATTTTAACAATACAAAAATTGTTTATCTTTTTATCTCAGACATTGCAATCATTTGAGAATTGAGAAAATTCTGAAAATACATCAATAAAATATTACTTTCTCATTAGCAATATTAAAATGGAAGAGGTCATCAGACATACTTTTGTTTCATGTTCTTTTGCATTATAGTAAATACTATGATTCAATTTGTGAATACAAATGATAAGATTTTTCTGGTTTTTGATAAGTTTACAATATCAGAGATACTATGTCATATCTTATGAAATGTTTGTGAATTTGCACAGCTGTTGAAAAATAAGGAAGGTCAAATTAATATACAGAGTAAATTAAGTATTCTGTAGTTAAGTTATTCCTTACATCTGTATTTTTCACTCACTTCCTTTTTGTATTGTTTAGTAAACTTATACAATAGTTTCTTTAAGCTAACCGACAAACACCAACTAAATTATATTTTTTTTTTTATTCTGGATAATGGATTTTGGAGATATTTTCTGCTTGTCTCCAGTCTCTCTTTACAAATTTTTTTTTATAAGTGCCATTTTTTGCTATATTTAGCTTTCACTGTTTTAAATATTTAATTTTTCTTTTCTGTTTTCTTTTTTTTTTTTATTATTAAAAAGTATAATATTTATTTAATACATTATTTTTGTTTTCACTTCTTGTTAGAATTAACAAGTAAACCAACTGTTTTCTTTATTTTGTATTACATCTTGTAATCTTGTCATAAAACTGCTTAATCATTTTTCACCATTTTAAAAAAGGAATT